GGGGGAGTAGAACTCCTTAGCATCGGAGCATGTCAATTACTGTATAAGAAATACTAATGATCTGATGGTCATTTCGAAAAATCCTTTCTTAGCGAGCACCTAGAAGCCAAGAGGAACATATGTGCCAAATGTCAAGTTTGTAGGCTTTACGGTTCTGGAGATTTTGTGGTGAGTGAGTGGTACTCGGCTTTTATATACAGTATATAGATAAGGCTCTGTTGTTGCCTAACCAGAAAGAGATCCAGATCTAGGACCATTTCCCATATACTTTTTGGGAATGCTCCTTTTGGGGAATATAACTGTCAGCTCTGTTTTCTAGGACTAATGATCCCAATAACAATTTTCCCTGGATTCATTTTAAATTTACTATCACTCATCCAGACCTGTTACCAACTGAGACAGGTATTCTGAGAAGTTAAGCAATACTGGAGATGTCATGGAGAAGGTGTTCAGGACACTATCCACATTTTGATAAGGGGGTTGTACACCCTTGAGAAATTATTTGAAAGAAATTCTCCAGAGTTTGTACAAGAACAAACACAGTCTTTCTCTGTTATTCATTAAAGCAGCCTATTTCTTTTCAGGCTGCAAGAGTTGCATTAACTTCAATGAACTTACTGCTTATTATTGCAGCATTTCTTCAGATTCGCATGTTTTAATGACTAGCAAAGATGTGCTGTGCTTACAAAGTACTTCTCCCTGATCATTTTCAAAGCATTCAACTGCTCTGACTGAAAAGTTATAATTCCAAATTTTGGATTTCCTCCAGAGGTTTCAGATGGAGTGAAGGCAGAGTTGGGCCTTGTGAGTTAGTATGGTATAATTTCTAAGTCAAGGAACACATTCCTTCAAGTTATGTCATTTAAAATTTGTCTGATACAGACTTTTAAGACATAATAACTCTGCCATCCTTCAAAAACGTTGCAAAATTACCATGAATACATTTCCATGAATAATTTAGTTTGCCATCAGCAGCTCCCAGTCAGTCCCTCTCTCCAGATCAAAGCAAGCATACCTATTTGGTAGAGCCAGTAAACATAAAATTTGAAGTTTATTAAAATCAGTAAACTTTAAGAGTTAATTGGCCAAATGAAGTAAAGGTGAAGCTTAAGGGGGGAGGGGGGGAGGGAGAAAGAAGAACTGTGGAGAAGAATATATCTTACTACATAAAATATTTATATAAAAATGATAGAACTTTTAAAAGCCACTGGAATAAATACTGTGGGTCAGCAAGATTCCCAAATTGCCTTTGGCTATTCTAACTTTATAGCACACAGTAGCAGTAGAATAGATATGGAAAATATATCACTAGTTGATCTCTCCTCTACACTGCATCATTAAAGAAACAAGTTGGTAGATGGAGGTGATTTATACAATAAAAGAGGTTTTGTAAATTAGGACACCACTAATTATGTTTTGGTTTGCAGGTTACAAGCTATGTTACGTAAGGGAAGAAATCAGGTGAAGGAATATACTACTTTTAGCAAGCCTACAGCACCACAAATTAAAATTGATCCGATGTGTTTACATGAAGAGTTCCCAAATGACCTTTTAAATGATTGCCATGGATACCTCAATGCTATCCAGAGATGTTGCTGCAGAAATCTCATTCAAGGCCTCATCACAAGCCAGGGAAGATTCCACCATCATATATCAGGGGACCAGCAGGGAAAATGACCCTCTTGTAACTTGAAACAATTCCAGCAAACCGCAAACTTACCGATCAAGTGCCCACACAAACCCTTCCTATACAGTCTATTTTGCCATAGCAAACGTTCTCAAATGGACCTTTGGTTCTGCGTTATCATAATTTGAATAGAGCTTCTTGCTCGAGTTTGTGCTGTGACCGCTTCAGACTTGCAATGGACGACTGTTAGTCACCGTGCATCCCTATTTCTCATTTAAGCAGCAAAATGTAACTACTACATGATGATAACTCCAAATATTATGTCACAAGCAAAACTTTTCACAGGGCTGTTTATTTTTTAACCCTTATTGATAAAAACCGGTACATTTCTTTTGATTCTAGGAAAGGGGGGGGGGGCGGTAAAATACAACTATTTACTGCCTCAAAGATTAATGCTTAAACTTGAGCAAGCAAACGGTATGTTAAGAGCTGTCACACACCTCCAAATCAATGCACTGATGTTCTAAAGTAGTAGTGCAGAAAGAAAAGCCCCTCGATTTTAAAACAGAAGAGGTTTTCATATACATAAGCCTGCTAACGATTTTATCTCAGAGCACAGGTTCCATTTTGGATTAAACAAAAGCTCTGGATTAATTTTCTCTTAATACGCTTGAAATATTAAACCTGTCACCACTGCATTTTCTGATTATTTCTTGTTTCCATGTTTGTTGATTATAGATATTCAGAGTTCATGCTATGCATTTGTACATGCGCTCCTTACCAGCTTATTTTTAGGACTGCATTTGACAGTGATTATTCTTCTCCTGCTTAACTGACAAAGCAAAGAAAGGAATGGGCACAGAGAGAGAGGCCAAGTGACAGATGGGATGGCAGAAAACTGAATGGCCTTTGACATCCTGAAACAGAAGGGAGAAGAGTCAGTGAAATATAATTAGCTATAAGCATCTAATATATTAATGTGGCTTCTCCAACTTCTACTGAATAAATATTCCTTCAAGTTCATATAAAATGAGACATTTAACAAGGAAGCTTTCGGCTTCTTAGGTAAGCTCCATGTATCAACATAGAACTTAATCAGAAGCTGCTAAAAGAATCTGTAGCATTAGGTTGCATCCATGTACTTTTAGGTCATAATCCAAAAAATATTCAGCAGAGCAGTCCACCCTTTTGATTCTCAATACCCATTTGCATGTGTTACGGCCTCTTTGAGAAGATATGTCTTTTTTTTCCTGAAAAGACCACAGAAGCCAACTACAAACATTGCAAGAATCAGATTTTACTTTGTTGATACTTCACTTGTAGTAGCAAAAGTATTGTTACTCTCTGTTGCATTGTAACTCCCCCGTTTGACGAACCCTGATCTAGAACAAGGGTGCACTCTTTTTCTGGGTAAAGAATATCCTCAGCCTTTCAGTGAAATGCCAAGGGTCATATTCCTCCTTCAACCCGGAAGCGGGCAGGAATTAAAATTAATGATATACCGGTAATTAACATGTATTAACTCCTGATATATTTAATAATTTTCCCCTTCTTACAAAAAAAAGTATAGCTCAGAAGCAACTTTGGAAAAGGAAAAGGTTCAGGGACCAACACTGGGGAAATGACATAAGATTCCTAATTGTAGGTTGTACACTGAAGAAGCAGATGTGCAGCTATTTAAATGTGAACCCTGAACTTAGTCATGCTTATTAAGGTAATATATGAAACCACACAAGAACACGATGAAAGCAAGGATGATAAGTAGAAAGCAAGGGTAGAGGAGGAGGACAAGGAAATTCAGTGAGTGGTATTAATGTAAACATAGCCTCTTTTTCTTTTCTTTTTCTCATCTCAGTTTTCTTTCCGTTAGCTGAATATTTCCTTTTCTGTCTCTGCACTCTGCAGAGTGATGCTTTCTTTGAAAAGGAAAAGCATGATGGGGTTGTATGTTCTAAGGGTCTGACAAGGACCACAACACAGTTTAATTCAGAAGTACACTAGAGGTAGTCCTTGACTTATGACCACAGTGGAGCCCAAGATTTCTGTTACTAAGTGAGACATGTGTTAAGTGAGTTTGGCCCCATTTTTATTACCTTTCTTGTCACAGTTAAGTGAATCACTGCAGTTGTTAAGTTAGTAACAGGAGATTTTGCAACCTTCTGACAAGGTCGTGTGATTTTGCAACCTTCTGACAAGCATTTATTGGGAAAACCAGATTCACTCAACAACCGTGTTACTAACTTAAGAACTGCAGTGATTCCCTTAACAAAAGAGGTGAGAAAAGTCATAAAATGGAGCAAACTCGCTTAAAAAATTTTCTCACTTACCAACGTAAATTTTGAGCTCAATTGTGGTCTTAAGTTGAGGGCGACACATACAATAATGATCAAGAAGCTAAAGAGAATACATAACAGTCTATTCACTAATTTGTTCTCCCACAATTCATCGAAAACTGCTCAGCTGTAGAATCCTGTTGGAAATATTGAATTCGTGGAAGTAACATGGCCTTTCTCTATTCAAGATTATTTTCAGTGTCTCTGTCAATGACCTGCAACCTTATTCTCGGAGGACAGCACAGTGCGTTAGAACCCTACAATTTACTTTTCAAGGAAAGTCACTTTCAGAATATTTCGTTCACGTATTCCAAGAATTGGATTCAAAAGCACAGCCTGCTTTCTCCCAAAGGTCACTTAAATCATAATTAATTTCTGTCAAGATTTTTAGTCAATATCCTACACAAACATAATTTCTTCTAGATTTCTAGTGAACTGCAGCCACAATCTCCAAATACATTAATAGTTTGCTAAGCCGTCCTAATCAACTGATTGCAAAAGAAGGCTTTCTCTTAAGATACAATTGTAGCTGCCCCACATCGCCACTTCCTGTATCATACACACGTCTTAAACTTCTGTAATCAGCATCCACCAGGTGCCGTATCGCATTCAGCACACCCCATTCAGTCAATACAGACATCCCCAAACACACAGAGGCTGGTTTTGTCAAATGTTTTATTGAGTGTAGACATCTGGAGTACTGTAAAACATGCATTATCTGTAGATTCAAAAAGGAGCAAGCCACATTGTCCTCACTGTCAAACATGTCAGGCTTGGCATATATGATGGAGATTAATGAAGTATCAAGAGAGTAATATGATCCTGGAAAGCTCCTGCAATTTGGAGTAGTCTTAATCACTTGAAATGCAGAGCTGTTCACATTTAAGTGAACTTGTACATTCATTGGAGGTGTCATGATTTAATTCAAAACAAACACCAGGGATTTGATATGGGGAGGAATTCTTTATTGTTAGAAATACACTTTGCATCTTTCCCGCCCCATCCCCACGATATCCCTTTCTAAATAAAAACTCATATGCTTTTTTTTAAGTAATAGAATTTAATTCTGAATAATGAACAGATTGAATAGTTATTTTTTCTTCGGCTGCTGAGGTGTGTTAAACTTAAAGAAGATAATATCTCCATCTTCAACGATGTAATTTCGGCCTTGTTGTCTGTATTTTCCAGCAGCCTAAGAGACACAGAAAAACAGATGATGGAATTAAAACCGTTTCTGTATAAAGAACCGATAATACTATTTTTAAGAACAGTTATGTGTTTTCAGTACAATTCATAAATGTTTGGTAACTTTAAACTTCTGGATCTGAGCAAATCGGATTGGTATAAATAAACACTATTTATTTACTCCTATGAAGTTAACTTGTACAAGTAAATGATAACCAGAATTCTGCACATCCATTACATTGATGGGTATGACTTAATATTAAAAGTACACATAGGGAAGAGATATTTTTGTAATCACCTCCCCCACATTTTTAAAACTTCCAAAACCTTACTGAATAAAACAGCTGCCATACTTTTGCATTCCTAATATACTATGCTAGGCAGACTGTTCCAGTTTGGGGGTGCTGCAATTAGGAAGAACATTTAAGGAATCGTACCATGTCACAAAAAGAAAATTTCAGAGGATAAGAGGCCTGGAAAGAAAAGCTTATGAAGAGTGATGGGAGGCATTGATTAGGTTTGGTCAAGAGAAGGCAAGATTCCATATTTTTAGGCATCTGAAGGCCTCATACAGAATACAAACAGAAACATTCAAGGAATGAGACAAAACAATAAAGAATGGGTTTAAATTACAAGGAAGCAGATTTTGGTTGATTGTTGAGGAAAATGTTCTAGCTGTTAATAGCTGTTCAGCAGTGGAATAAACCACAATGGAAGTTGGTGATCACTTCTTTATGGGACAAATTTAAATAAAGGCTGGGTCTGTCTGAGATGCTGTACTAGTGGATTCCTGCAATGGACAGTGGGTTGGACTAACAGTCACTCAGATCCTTTCCAACATTTACATTTTATATTCTAAGACCCAATACTGTGAAGTATGAGAGTAAGAAAATTTAGAAAGTAGTTTTAGGAAGACCATTTATTTTTTTTCTGTTTCAATCAATGAAGCTCTATACAATCTAGCAACCATAAACACTCTTCATTTTCTAAATATGCATTTACGTCAATCACAGTAGCTGGATTCAGAGAACTACAGTAAAAACTACGAGAGAAAATGGCTGTCTTCTGTTCTGTAATGGACTTGTAAATGTGACTGTACAGTACACACACACACGCACACACACACACAGACAAAACCAGAAAAAAATGCTGTATTATATACTGCAAATGCCAGGGAGCTATAAAAGGATTCTGAGAATTAGCTTGTCTATGTTACATAAATGGAAGATCGCCTATAGATATCATGTAACTTTTGTCATAAAATCTTTTTTTTCACTAAGTTTGAAATAGCCTGTCATATAGTAATAATGTATATCTTTGATACTTCACAATCCAAGGCAGAAAAGTAAAATATACTGGTTAAAACCACTCTCTTAGCCTCACCTAAACAGTACGGCATCCAAATGGAGCAAATGATCATTATCTTTACTCAAATTTCTAGTGCTCAATACAACTGAATGAACAGCAAGAACCAGAAAATGAAAAATGACAGAGGAAAACTGTTATAAGTAGATGTAAGCAAGACTGCCAAAAAGTCATGTGAGCACTTAGATTTAAGGAAAGAAAAACAGAATATATATTTCAGCGTAATGCATTTAGAGAAGTGCAAATGGGCCTTAGTTTTTATGTTCTTAACGACCATTCAAAAAGAATGGGATGTTACATGAATAAATCACACCATTCAGAAAAATATATTCATTATTTCCTAGAAGTTAATTTGTTATATAGGATTGACAGATCTGCTCTGCATGACCAGCTTCAGAGAAAACAGGAACTGGGCTGATTCAGATAAGGTTGGAATGCAAGGCTGTGTAATTAACTAATTTTTAAGATTATTATTATTATTAAGGTTGTGTTCACTTGGAAATGATTTACAAGAAGCACTTCAATCAATAATTAAGTGCAGATACAGCACCTCTCTGCTATTCACTGAGGTACCCAACTTTTTAAAGTTTTTTTCTACATAAATGCTGCTGTTTTGAGCAGTCAGTTAGCTCACTGACATTAAACTCTTAAAGCAGCCACGACTTTTTCAGGCTTGTGTAAAGGCCCAAAAAGGTAAAATTACTTTAAGGAGTAGCAGGGTGTTCATACAACTTCTGAAGCACTCCTTTCAAATCATTTGTGGAATTATGTACAGCCCTATTCTCTTAAAAAAAAAAGGAACAGGAAGATGGCAACAAACATCTACAATTCTATTTTCAAAGGCATTTTAAAGATAATTTATGGGAAAAACATTGATTATGCAATTAAGAAGCCAGGACAGATGTGGTATTACTAACATTCAGAGTGTATTTTTAACAACAGTGCCTTTACCATACCAGCTCTTTCCCATACAATAGTGAAATGTATTATGAGAACAATCTGACATGTTCTCACATTGTATCTTGAGTGCGCATTAAGCTTCACTGGATTTCTTTTCATTTATATAATTAAATCAAAATGATTGCAATATTGCAATGTAACTGTTAACGTGCATGCTTTCCAGAATGTGTTTAATGCTCATCTTTTCTGCCACTTTAGTGTTACAATTTGGTATAGCACCCTTGGGGAGTTCCTTGAATGCTTCATCCAAGGCTTTTGGGTTTCTTATGAATTTTCAAGATTGCGTCACTTCTTTCTTTAGCACATTCACTGACTTCCTTTTCCCTACTTCCTTTCTGACCTCATTTGCATTTCAAACCATAGGATATTTAAAATGGACCATCATCTCAACTTTCTGAGATGGCAGACAGTGGGAAAAGGTAGCTAGTCTGGATGAAGTAAGACCTTTCCACAAGTAGCCCAGAGAGGGAGGTAATATATTCATGCTCTACGATGCCAATCATCATCTTCTTTTATATACGGTTAAAAGGAGGGGGCAAGAGAAAGGAACAACTGCTGCCATCTTTGACAATGTAGTACTCTTCCAAATTCTGGGTGGTGTAATCTCAATATGTCTGGCAGCTGAGGAAAGCTAAATTGGTGGAAGAAGAGAAGAGTAAAACAGAAAAGCAGCAGCCACCACCGGATTTTGTGGGCATCCAGCTTTGGAACTAAGTTGCTGGCCAGCAAATGGTATCATTTCTGTGGTAGAAAGGCTGGGTGATACTTGCTTAATGTGCTGCATTCTCAGAATAGTCTGTTTCATTCATTCAAAGTGGCCAAATGTATTGTTTCCACAAAGTGGGCATAATCACTTTTAATTAAATACATTCTGACATAGTACTACAATATTATGTATTTTAGCTACCAGTTCACAATTAATTAAAAGAGACTGTGTTCCTTTAAATTCCCTAGACGCCATTTAATCCATTTTCACTGCTATCAGAAACACTGGCTGGGAAAAAAAAAATCAATACCCATTTGTGAATCTTGAGTATGTATTAAACAAGACACGTCTAACCAGTTCATTTGCACTTGAAAGCAGCCATCTGTAGAAGCCAGCTTTGCCTAAGCAGATATGATTGCTAATAATGTGATATCCCTATAGACTACAAAGCCCACACAGAGCTATTCAGTGTATAGTTCACAGCACTGGCATTAAATTAGTTATGCTGTACTAGGGTTAAGACACATATAAAATAAACTTAAAAATTATCTGCTTTATAACACAGAGAGTAGTCAGAGCCAATAGCCCCTGCTGTCTCAACAAACCTGGAAATTCCAAAAAGTATAAACAAAAGAGTATAAACAAAAATAACCAGTGACTTATATTGCTTATGTTATTAACTGGTTCCAAGATACAGTCCATGCAATGTTTTGGCTTTTCTAACTTCATCATTGCTTAGAATAGAACTCTGCATTTTTATGAAAAATAAGTTGCTCTATTTTTACATATCGGCTCCAATATCGTAATATCCAGGTTGCACAACATGTCTAGGCATTACTCAAATCAAAGCACCTAGAAATACAGGATATAAAATTTTGATTAGCACAATAGAGCTTTTACAGAATATTACAGATATTCACATCTCACTGAATGTCTGTTGTTGGTATTTTGTACGATTTGACAAATACATGAGCTTTTTTTTGCCTAAAGAAAACAATACAAGATTTCCATATGGTTATTGTTTATTTGTTTCTTCTTCCCAAGAAGGAATGCATGCCAGCACAAACCAACTAGGAGATTCTTCCCCCTCCTCCCTCTCCCTCTCTCTCACACACACCCCTCTTTGCACAGCACACTTCGTGGGGTTCAAACAGACCTATTAAAACCCTGCTGCTCAATACAATCTCCTTTAGCGATACAGCTGAGAATAACCTACATTTGAAATTGCATTATTGCATACTATATAAGCTATCAAGTAGGAGACAATAAGATACAATTTTGAAAAACCCTTTTAATGCATTTCGGCAGCATGCTCTGAATATTGGACTAGGTTAAATTTAACTCCCTTTTTATTGTTACAATGCTATAAAACAAAAAAGACAGCACAATGGCTAGCTAAGGACTGAATTCCTGCTTCTTCAGATTTCCAACACCCCGAAACAAGTTTCTTCGGAAAAGAGGAACCCCAATTTCAGTTCAGGCTATGAGATCCTTTCTTGCCAGATTTAATGCAAATCTAAATCTGACTGAGCTGGCTGACTGATCTAATCGCAACACAGGAAACTCTGTTGTAGGGCACATCTTTGGGCATCTAATCTGCCTCTGCCCTCTAGCGTTTAGAAATAAGATCAAACTCCCCATCTTCATTAAGTCAAAGCCCTCATCCAACTAGTAGAATAAAACCGTTTCATTAATTTCTTCAAGCAATAATAATAAAACCACAACTCGATGATTACAGTCAGAAAATCCTGATACGGTTCTAACATAAGTATATGATTTTAATAGGAGACACGTTTTCTTAAATCTATAAATAGGTGAATAATTTTACAATTAAGTGTACAATAAAGCATTTTCTTCAAATATTTGCCATTTTGTTATGCCACACCCCCAAAGCAGCCTCATTTTTTAAAAAGAATGAATGGGTGCTAGGTGTTATATTTCTGAAATAATCTAAAAATGGCATATCGTTCTTTCATATAATTATCTTTAATCAGTATAGTCAGCAGTGCTAGACAGTACTACTCTGCCAACATAAAATTTTAATTTTGTGCTGGCTCATAATTGCTCACATTTGTATGATAATTGTTATACCTCAAAACAGCATTTTCTACTACATCTGTATTCTTTGCCAAAATGTAAAGCAACAATAGATTTGATCTCTATTATTAGAATCAGATGCACTTTCAGTGAGTGAAGTCTTGAAATAAAAGGAGATTTGGAAAGGAAAGGAAAACTTACCTTGACAGCCACTTCTGAGCCTCCTTCTTTAAAATCTACAAATTTCATTACTTCAGCCATAATGAATCCCTTTTCAAAATCAGTGTGAATCTTTCCAGCTGCCTGAGGAGCCTTGGTCCCTTTCTGTCAAACCAAGACCAAATTAACTGTGTTTAGGAAAACTGATTGTACAACAGAGATGTCTATATTGTGCAATGTTTTCAATATCTTCTGAAACTTCGTTTCAAAAGGTCAAGGAACAAAATGATTAATTTTTAATACTGGTCATTGATGGACATTTCTACAAGAAATAAACAAGTATTAAAGAAAGTCTATTTTATTCCAACACATACCAACAACTGTATTGATTTTGCACAGTGTATTTGAACAGAAATCTAATGTTCACACTAAAAAGAAATAAGCAAACGCAATAACTTTTAAAACGGTACAGTTTTAGTCTTGGGTAAA